GGTTTTGACACTTTCTTTTTCAACTCAAAAATAAAAATGTCAAAATCACACGATATGATTAAAAAAACGTCAAGCCGCACGCGACACGATGAATTGTACGTGTTGTTTTCCTTGCACATATGGTCAGTTCCAATCGCACGCCCAAGAGAGCTGATCTTGCCCGCCTAGGCGTCCACATCCAGAGCGCAGACGCGGCATTAACAGTCCGTCGATACACGCGGATCTTGCCAGCTCCGACCGATTAATCCACCGTGTCCGTCGCAAATCCCCTGCCATTTTCAATTAATTTCTTCAGAAAAGGAAACGCGTGAGCTAGCTCGCTCACACGCACGCACGTACTGTAAATCCCATCCCAATCCGCTCTCCTCTCACCACGGCGGCTCAAAGAAGACGATCGCCAGCATGATTGTGTGCAACCCACAGAAGATTTGGTTCCCAAGTATAGCGCCGAGCGTTAACGGGCAGAAATCTTGACAGCATCCACAGGGGATCCGGCGCAAGGAGAAGGAATTAAAGCGGGGGAATTCGCATGAATGGCAGACAGCGCACCCGTATCGCGACCGATCCCTCCGGCATCAATGCTGAGATAACAGCTCACTTTCCCGTCCGGGGAGTGCATGCCGCCGCGCCCCGGTTTAAATACGAGCGCCTCCGCGTGCGTGCCTGACTGGATTCATCTGGAGGAGGCCGATCGATCCATCGGTCGAACGGCGGCCATGGCGAGTGGCGGCGGCGGAGTGATGGCCGGGAAGAAGAGGAAGTCCGCGGAGATGGGCCGCGTGGACGTGCCGGCGAGGCGGGAGCCGCGGCGCGGGCTCGGTGTGGCGGCGCTGGAGAGCATCAGGGCGCAGCTCGAGACGGCCGAGAACTTCTACGTGTTCCCGTCGCTCGCAACGGCGGCGGCGGCGGTGGCGCCGCCTCCGACGCCCCCGCTGCCGTCCCTGCTGGCCGGACACGTCGCCGGCGTGCGGTTCGACCCGTATGTACGTGCCCGGCGCAAGGCGATCGATCATGGCCTAATCATTTTACTACATTTTTACTCATCGTGTCGATCGTGGCGATGGGATGGCATAATTTACGTGCGTATGTGTTGCACACACAGGTCGGAAATGGAGGAGCGCAGAGGGATTACTATCCTCACTACTACGGCGGCGAGCACTACACTTTGGCACGCAGGTACATACACACATGAACATGCATACACACACCTGTTCTTCAAATTCAGTATGTAATTTACATTTATATTTCAAATTAAGTATGTAATTTATGTTTCAAATTTAGCATGTAATTTACGTGTGTGATGTACACAGTTTACACATGTGCTGTACACACACAAACATGCATAACCTGTTCTTTAAATTTGGTATATGCAGTTTGCATTTCAAATTTAGCATGTAATTTACGTGTGTAATGTACACAATGTACGCATGTGCTGTACACACACACAAACGTGCATAACCTTTTTTTTATTTAGAATATGCAATTTACATTTCAAATTTAGCATGTAATTTACGTGTGTGATGTACACAATTTACGCATGTGCTCTACACACACAATCTATTTTCCCCCCTTTGCGCTCACCCTTGTGTACATTGCACATCGGCAGGTACATGCAGCAGCTGCAGGCGTCGAGCGGCCAGCCGGCGCCACGCCACCATGATCACCACCATGCATGGCAGAGCAACGCCGCGGCCGTCGCTGCGCCGGCGCCGCCTGTCTTGGAGCGGGACCACCGTCGTCGAGCCCAGGCGCACGGCGGCGGCCATGCGAGGAAGCCTCGTGTTGCGTTCGTGGACCTTGTCGACTCCGATGAGGAGGATGGCCGCGGCAGCGCCGAAGAAGAACTGGACCTCGAGCTCAAGCTCTAGCTGATACGATGATTGAGATAGAACACGATCTTTTTACCTTGCTGGTTTGGCCACTTATTAGCTGCTCCCGTCCGACTGAAACGATGGACGGATTCTTTAATTTGTTCTTTCTGCATAGATCGAGGTTGTAGCAGTGCAGACTTCCTGTGCTGTGTAGTCATGTACTGTACGTATGTACACATGTTCACGCCCCTTTATTATTATTGAGTAATAGCCGTATGTCATGTGTTTTCTAGCTGGTTGATTTCGTGTGTTTCTCTGTGTAGTATACAACTTTTTATGTGTTGATTTTTTTCCTTTGGTTAATTGATGAAATAGCAGGTTTCTTTGTGTTTATTTCGGGCTACATATTTAACTCGATTGTGTTCGTGTGCTTCTTTTTACCTTGTTAGATGTTAGATAATTCTTGTCTCAAACTCTATGCGGCGGGAGGTCATTTATATCATGATAGGGTACATGTTATCTTAAAATCAAATTGGTAGCGAGTTTGTCGAATTGAAAGTGACGCGGTAATGTTTTGGTGCATTGGAGTTTCTACTTGCAACTTTGTTTGATAAATGAAAATGAACCAAGTCTAGACATACAGCATAAAATGGCTTGGATAAACACCAAAGGAAATTTAAGATCTAGGCAATCCACAATTCATTAAAGGGTGAAAAAAATTGAGGGGATAAAAAGAGTAATTGGTTATCGTGAAATAGTGCATTAGTGAAGTCAGTGGTGATGCTAGGAATCCAATTATGTGTGGTCAACTGAATGTTGTGCAATCAGGTGTATGCATTCACAAGATTTTTTGGCATGATTTCTTTTTTTTTGGCATGATTTCTACTTGATGTATTTCGCTTTTGTAAAAAGCTGTGTAGTCAATTGACTACCCAGCTCAAGTGTGGCTTCGCCACTGAGTGAAGTTGAGATGAATGCTTTTGCAAAGGATTGGTATACTTCAACCATGCTTTTAAATTTTTGGTTTGCTTGAGATGTGATATAGCACTCATCAAACGACGACACAAAACTGAAGGTATTCAAACATTGTGGTGAATGGGAGTTTCAGCAGAGAGCCACCTTCCATAGCAAGAAAGCAGCCTCATGCACTTTCAGTTTATGGTGTTGGATGTTCCCCATATTTTGTTTATCACTCACTAATCCACCAATGGACACACACATCCACTACTGCCCATAGTTGCTTGCAGAACCTCAGAAATGTAATGTCCTGATGGAGAGACTAGAGTCAAGTGAACCTGGGGGCGATGCATAGATTTAGTCGGACTTCGGTTGAACAAATTATGCATTTTCCATAGAAAGTCCACTTAGCTTTAGTCAGGTTTAAATCAATACATTCGGTGATACAAAAAATACAAATAATGGTTTAGTAGTACGGGGCAGAAGACAATATGTACCATATCAAATATATGGTTGATTCAAGCCTCCCATGATTCAATACTCTCCTAATCTCTTTTTGTGATTTTCTAAAGCACCAAACCTCCTTAACAACTACATTCATGGTTTCTACACTTCACACCAACTTCTCCAATATACTGTAACAATATCTCAACTTCTTCTGGTTTGCAAGAGAGAAAATCAGATATTTTAAATTTTCAGATCTCTACACGTCAGAGTAAGCTTATCATGACTCTAGTTTATTTATAGATTAGATTCAGCGTTGTAATCCTGCAAGGTGAAAACTCATTGCATTGAATAACAATTCTATCTTGTCACTGTATTTACAATTGGAAAAACATTTGACTACAAAATTCCACAATGACAGACCTACTACTACATGTTTAATGTCCTCAAATAACTACCGAGACCTTAAAAAACTTGCATCCAATGATCATTTGGCTGGCCATGATCGATACTTTGGACTGGAAAAAAAGAAAAGAAAAACTAACATTTAGTGGAGGGTTATAAGATACTCCCTCTGTCCCATATAAGAGCGGTTTTGACACTGCACTAGTATAAAAAACGCTCTTATATTATGAAATGGAGGAGTAGTTGTTTGCATCTATGTTATCGAAGAAGAAACTGTTTGGTTTTCATCAATGTGATTTAGAGATATTTAGTTGCCATTCTATAGTGAACCATGGTGTGTCAAACATCACCACACACTGCCTAATAATACATTATGTGGCTATTTTTCAGAGAAAAGGCCATAGTTTAGTGGACGGGGCATTTTGGCTCCAGGCCTCATATGAGCCCGAGAGTGAACAGTAAATTTGCCAAAAATAGTAAAAAAAATTTGAAAAAATCCAAATTTTTTGTGGTAAAAGATACTTGGGTTCGTGATGTCTGTGCAAAAAAATCAGTGCATTTGAACATCTGACGAGCTCTCAGAAAAAAAGACAAATTTGGTATCTATGAATAAGTTTACTGTTTTGCACAGTCCGGACCTGATTTTTTTTTTTTTGCGGAGAGCTACTCAGATGTTCGAATGAGTTGAAACTTGGCACGGACATCATGCACTTAAGCATCTTTCACCATAATTTTTTTTTGAAATTTTCTAGTATTTTTTAATTTACTGTTCACATAGTGTAGATGAGCTGGGAAGCCAAATTGCATATTCGGTAGTTTAGTACTCTAATGCTTAAACGACGGTCATCTAAGGACCGCCCAATTACTAAGCGGTAGACACATAGAACTTTGACACCCATCAACCAACCACAAAGCACTGACTCGGATGGAAAGAATAAAGGAAAAAATAGCAAACATGTGACACACATCAACAGAAAGTCAGCAGCGGAAGAAATGGCAACGGCCACACATGAAACACACCTCTACCCATCTCCATAATACACGTGTCAATACTAGGAAATCTCCAATGTGTTGAAAAAATCTCAAAAAAAGGAGAAAAATGGATTTCCCTCAGGTATAGGGTCTTACTTATTTCAAGTTAGATAGTGATGGCAGCTAGCCTATTAGATATCTAAACTTGATGATGAGGACGATCTCCTTGGCTTGGTGAAGCTCGTGGGAAGCTAAGACTTGTGTTGACATGTTGAAGGATATCACAAACTGCAAGGGGTACAATGCGAGTGCAACTAACACTTGGACTTCTCTATAGATAGAGTTCGTCGACTTAAATTCTTGATGCATGCAAGTGTTTTGCCCCAAGCCTCCTCCTAGCACGACAGGTGTGGGTATCTAGAAGAGAATGTCATAGACAGATACAACCATCATATACAATATGGGTTAAAAACATCATATGCAGTAGTCCCCACATCCTTATTAACGTGGCACATAAGTATTTCTAGGACTAACTCTGATAATTAATTTAACCAAAAAGTGTGATTACATGACACAAATATTATATCATTCAATTCATATGTGTTGCTACAAACTGTAAAAAAGATGAGGAGCTAAGTGACAGACTTAGGGTATCATCAAAAGACATTAGTGTCATGTGGACATTGTGCAATTCACGATTAAAAAGAACAAAAATACAACAAAGGTCATGTGGCAAACATTGGAGAATCTGAAATGACCATAGTAGGTTCTTTGTAGGACACAACATTTCAAATGTTGAAACATAGGAGAATGAACATTTGTACGTTGACTGCATACGGGCGTGGACGGGAAAGAGGACAAGGTCTATCTGTTGGAAATATGCCCTAGAGGCAATAATAATTAGTTATTATTATATTTCCTTGTTCATGATATTAGTTTATTATCCATGCTATAATTGTATTGAAAGGAAACTCAGATACATGTGTGGGTACATAGACAACACCATGTCCCTAGTAAGCCTCTAGTTGACTAGCTCGTTGATCAATAGATGGTTACAGTTTCCTAACCATGGACATTGGATGTCATTGATAACGGGATCACATCATTAGGAGAATGATGTGATGGACAAGACCCAATCCTAAGCCTAGCACAAAAATCATAGTTCGTATGCTAAAGCTTTTCTAATGTCAAGTATCTTTTCCTTAGACCATGAGATTGTGCAACTCCCGGATATCGTAGGAATGCTTTGGGTGTACCAAACGTCACAACGTAACTGGGTGGCTATAAAGGTGCACTACAGGTATCTCCGAAAGTGTCTGTTGGGTTGGCACGAATCGAGACTGGGATTTGTCACTCCGTGTAAACGGAGAGGTATCTCTGGGCCCACTCGGTAGGACATCATCATAATGTGCACAATGTGACCAAGGGGTTGATCACGGGATGATGTGTTACGGAACGAGTAAAGAGACTTGCCGGTAACGAGATTGAACAAGGTATCGGGATACCGACGATCGAATCTTGGGCAAGTACAATACCGCTAGACAAAGGGAATTGTATACGGGATTGATTGAGTCCTTGACATCGTGGTTCATCCGATGAGATCATCGTGGAACATGTGGGAACCAACATGGGTATCCAGATTCTGTTGTTGGTTATTGACCGGAGAACGTCTCGGTCATGTCTACATGTCTCCCGAACCCGTAGGGTCTACACACTTAAGGTTCAATGACGCTAGGGTTATAAAGGAAGTTTGTATGTGGTTACCGAATGTTGTTCGGAGTCCCGGATGAGATCCCGGACGTCACGAGGAGTTCCAGAATGGTCCGGAGGTAAAGATTTATATATGGGAAGTCTTATTTTGATCGCCGGAAAAGTTTCGCACTTTATCGGTATTGTATCGGGAGTGCCGAAAGGGGTCCGGGGCTCCACCTGCCCCGGGGGGCCACATGGGCTGTAGGGGGTGCGCCTTGGCCTATATGGGCCACGGGCACCAGCCCCAAGAGGCCCATGCGCCAAGATATAAGAAAAGGGGGAGAGTCCTCAAGGGGGAAGGCACCTCCGAGGTGCCTTGGGGAGGATGGACTCCTCCCCCCCTTGGCCGCACCCCTTCCTTGGAGGAAGGGGCAAGGCTGCTCCTCCCCCCTCTCCCTTGCCCCTATATATAGTGGAGGGGAGGGAGGGCAGCCGCACCTGAAGCCCTGGCGCCTCCCTCCCTCCCGTGACACCTCCTCCTCTCCCGCAGGTGCTTGGCGAAGCCCTGCAGGATTGCCACGCTCCTC